GGTTATACTGATATACATTGTTAGGGTCTATCTCCTTATTGCTTGAGAGGATACGTAGGGTAATGTAAAACTCCTTCAGCTCGTTATAGATCATGAATCCATCCAACCATCTAGGGATAATCTGAAACTCTCCTCCACCACAACATATTTATTCTCCTTTGTATTGTGTATTGAATCCTGGTTGGTCTGTCATAAAGTATGAAGAAAAGTTTTGAATTAGTCTAGACAACCTCTTCTGTCTCCTGTAGGGGAACAAGGGAGATGAAGAACAAAATATGTAGATAAACGAGGCATTTGCGGAATAAAATATGTAGATAAACGAGGCATTTGCGGAATAAAATCTGTAGGGAAACGAGGCAGGTGCATAATAAAGACTTTTCTACTTCTACGCTGGCAAGCTCAACATCTACAGATACCATCTGTTTATAAACAGATTTTCTAGCTCAACCATCATACTCTACTTTAGAGATTATAATCAGATCTTGAGTCCTGATCTCTGAGCCAACAGATACTAACATCCGCTTAAACGTATGATTGAGAAGCTTCTGCAAGTTAACTGAGGCATTATAATCCCTGCTGTGGTTCCATATAACTCCACTTGTGTAAAGGAGTCTGGTATAAACCTCATTTTCTGCTCTTGGACATGGTTGTGGACATGGTAATATTATTGTTCCTCATGGTACAAGACAATAGAGGAAATGGAAAATATTCTTTACAATTCTTTACAAATTTTCCGCATATAGTATACTGTTTTTCCGTTTTTGAGGTAATTTTAATGAACAATATACATTTACAACTTTCTAAGAAAAAACGGCCTTTTAGATAACTTGTTAGTCGTTAAATTAAAATTTACCTGCTAGATGATGTAGTTTTCTCGCTTTTAACACAAGAAATTAAAAATCCTTTTTTTTTTAAACAAACTAAATTCTCTTTACCAAAATTAAACTTTACTTTTTAGATAAATAAAAACTCTTTGCATACTTAAATACAAGTAATAACTCTTCTCTTTCATAAATCATCTTTTTACTCATCTTTACATAAATTTAACACAATAAAATAATCTACAAAAGTTTACATTAAAAACAGCTTAAATAATTACCAATAAAAAAACTATTAAACGCAAACGTTAAAGTCAAAACATAGTTTATCTTCAAATATATTTCACTCTTACTTCACCAAAATTACTCATTAATACCCCACAAATTTTCAACTAATAATTTTGTTGTTCCAAGATCTTATTTAAAAATCAGTTCATTTCAAATTCAATACCGTGGACCATTTACATGAAAAAGTTTTTTGAAAAATATTATTAAAAATAAAACTCTTCTAAACTTCTCCCAAGAACAATTCAAAAGAGAATCTAAACGATTTCTATTAAAAAATAACGATCTTAAAAAATTCAATCTTAAAAAAAAAATTCGATCTTAAAAAAAATTTTTTTTTACCTAAAATAATTAAATTGAAAAAAGTCATCATTACTTACTAATTAAATCTTAACAAAAAAAAAAAGAGCGTAACAATTACAGTAAAGAAAAAATTATGTTAGCTTTAAAATGCTGAGGGTCTCTAGATTACATTTATAAAAAGAAATTACCCCAATATAAAAGCTGATTTTGAGGTATTTTGCTCACCTCTGGCCCGCTTTGAAGTGAGTGGATTTCTTGAACGGGTAATCATTTATTAACAAGACTATACTAAAATAGTCACAAATTCTGAACCACTAAAGATATTTTGATTTTTTTTTTTAATTTGTTATTTAGGTGCCCCAAGAAGTCCTAACGATCTTGTCACAGAGCACCGCGGAAGTGCATTTAACCAGGAAGTTCACGCCTCCTTCCTTACCGTGACGCGAAATATGTCCGAAGCTCGTTTCGAGCCACGGTTGCAAAACGCATTCTGTTCATCTAAAACCATCCTGATTTTGTAAAACGCATATGATATAGCAACATCATTACTATACCTTAGGCTTATGACAACATAACAGCTTCACTACATCTATGAATAGCATCCACCTTTTTGTACATACTACTAATCATAGCTAATACAGTGTTCGTCTTTTCTTTTTTGAAACAATATTAAATTTTATTGTTCAATTGATCAATTGTTTGTGCTTGGTAATTGATTTTATGGAAAAGTCTTTTCAAAATAGACCAAACATTTTCAACTAAATAAAGTTTTAGAGTGCTCGAAAGATTATCTTCCTTTTCAAAGAAAATTACATTTTTTTCCATGAAAAACTAAAAATTTTGTATAATGAGTTGATGCAAGATTCGGCAAAAATACATAGTTACCATCTGCAAGAATTCCGCTAAACTTATTAAGTTCCGAATAATTTAATGATATTTATTGATTACCGAGTAATTCTAGTAAGTATTTACTAATTAAATATCAGGATTAAACAAAATAAGTAAGTACTTTATAAAATGATATTTATAAAATGCTTTCAAAAATGATGCAAATATAAAAACTCTGATTTTATTAAACGCCATCTTTTTTTTATCACACAGAAGACAAGTCAGTTAAATCTAAAAACAACATTTTTAGATACAATATTTTAACAAATTAATGTTTGTAATTATAAAGAGGGAAACTTTTTTCACTTGGTGACAATTGCTTTACAAATTAAATGATGATTGCTAGTTAATGTACGGCTATTACTTTAATAATGTAAATTTAGTTAATGTACATCTATTATAATATTAATTTTGAAGTTTATAACTCAATATATAATTTAGCATTTTTTTAGTCAGGCTTTAAAAGAAAAAACTTTTTGAGCTTTATAAATAAAAGCTGAAATGTTCACTCTTTTATAGAATATATAGAAATACATTTAATGGTAAATATATTGTTGTTTTCATTGTTATCAGTTCTTTGAACAAACTATATAATTACTAAATACTGTTATACTTTAAACTAAGTAGGTACGTGGAAATCCGCGTTTTAAGAAACCGAATTTTGTGATAACATTCTGTGCCACGTTTTTTGAAAATTTTTTTAGGTAGCGTCAGGCGAACGTTTTTTTGTGGTGTTTCTTTTTAGAAACATAACTAAACTTATGTTTGAAAAGAGAATAGTTAAATCTGATTTTTATGCAATATTTATGTGTGGTTGGTAATTTATGTATTAATTTTATTTATAATAAAAACTTGGTTGTTATTCTCATATTAAATAGTTGTCGAAGAAATGCTCAGATAGTTTGAAAACCTGCCCAGATGTATATATATAAGATTTATTTTATTATCTATTACCATTTCGATCGTGAGCACCAATAAGCCAGTTTGCGAGCGACATTTTTTAAGTGAAAGGCTCCTATAAATAAGGCTCCTATAAAAAATAAGGCTCCTATAAAAAATAAGGCTCCTATAAAAAAATAATCAATGAAATATAAATATAAAACATCATTTTTTTCTTTTAACTAAATCATATACGGAAAAAAAGATTCTCACTAATTTGTAATATAGAACAATAACCAAACGCAATTCATCTAGTTTTTTTATAAAAATAGTTAAGTTACATAAAAATATTAACAAATTTATTTTGAACTATGAATGCTTACTATAAATAACTTGGAACACCTCAGTATACTTTAAAACTTTTTTTGTCTGCCCTAGCAGACATATATATATATATATATATATATATATATATATATATATATATATATATATATATATATATATATATATATATATATATATATATATATATATATATATATATATATATATATATATATAAATTAATATATGTATATATAAATTTATTCATATATAGTTTTAAAAATATTTATAACTTGACTGAATTATACCAACTACACATTCAAAACATAATGTACAAAAAAGATTTCTAAAAGTAATGAACCTAATTTGTGTTTTTATTAATGCGTATTTGTCGAGACAAATAAAGTTGAATGGAGCCGTCAAAATTAAAAAAAATTGATTTTCGAGAGAAACTTTAAGCTTAATCAATATGGGGATGAATGGAATATGTATGTTAAAAGGTACTTTTAACATTAAACAAACAAAATAAGCTTTTTTTATAAAATGGAAACACCAATGTAAATGGTTTTTAGTTATGTGATGGAATATACTTTTGAATCAATAGCCATCAGCTAAGCCATCTTTTTAGTTATAAAAATCAGTTTTTTAAACTAATTTATAAAACAAATTATTTGGCTGCATTCCGGCTAACTTCTAAGCTATTTTTTATATAGATAAGCTTGAAGTGTCTGTTTAAAAATTCATTAACATAAAATGTCAGGAAAAACTTTCAAAACATAAAAATTGAAATTAATTTACGTCGTATTAGCTTTTACGTCGTTTATAAAACGAGTTTTTTAAATCACATTATTTCAAAACTTTTTTGCTTTCTTATAGAATGATACAAACACTCTCTAAAAAAGGATTTGGCTTCGCAAAGCATGTCTAAGGTAAAAAGTCCTAGCTCCATAAAAATCAGTTTAATTTCGTTAAAGTTGCATTTTTTAAATGTATTTCTTACAACATGCATGAATACATATTCAAATAAATTTATAAATTAAAATAGAATTACCTTTGTATGTAATAAAAATTTTAATAAAAGGTTTTGTATATAAGGAGAAAATTAAGTTTGAATAATGATAAAATTTTATTGGTAAAAAAAAGCTGTTTTCGGTCACTTTCAAGCATAAATTAAAATTTAAATCTATTATTTCAGTTCTTATTTTTTTTACCGTTAGAATCATAAGAAACTATAGAAAAAAGTTAGCTAATAATATTATTTAAACTGCGCTACTTAAAAAACTGTATTTTGGCTAAACTTTAAGTCTTTCTAAATCACTATGCCTTGGTGGGATCATTGCAAACGTGGGATTTAATTTAAGAATTTTTAAAAAGGGCATAAAAAGTAACATGAAAGTTTTATTAAATCTAATTATTTATTCAAATGACATAAAAATTATAAAATTTTTTTAAGTAAAACATTTTCTTGAAATTTTACTATAAACTTGACAAAAAACATTTTGATTTGTATTTTATAAATTGTCTTTGTTTTATTTTTCAAAAATTTATCAAATGCTATGATATCCCCTAAAGTGTATGAATATGATATGAGCTCTTAAAAGGTTTATAAATAAGTTATTATTGACTAGTTGCAGGAGTTTCATAAACTGGAACTGTAATCTGTGGAAGAGGTTTTTTACCAAGAATAGCATCAGCAGCTTTTTCTGCCATCATTATTACTGATGCGTTTAAATTACCACTAATATTCGACGGCATAATGGAGGCGTCAACAATACGCAGGTTTTCGATACCAAAAACTCGCGTTTGGTTGTCAACTACAGCCATTGGATCATTTTCGTTCCCCATTTTACAAGAGCAACATGGATGATAGTTTGTCTCAGCTCTCTCTCTAACAAATTTATCAATTTCTGCATCTGTCTTTACCTTTAAACCTTTTAAATTTAAAAGTATAAAAACATAATTTATGTTGGTTTTGTTTTTATATCATTTTGTTATACATTGATTATTTTAAAACCCTTCAAAATATCTTCAGATTAAAAAATTAAATTAAAACCTGGCTGCAGTTCTTCGCCTCTAAATGGTTTTAAGGCATCTTGCGACAAAATCTCGCGTGTTAATTTGACACATTCTCGCATATCAACTATGTCTTCTTGCGTCGCCAGATAGTTTGGATTTATCCAAGGATGATCTCTTGGATTTGCAGATTTAAGTGCAATATACCCGCAGCTTGTTGCACGTAAGGTTCCTGCATGAACCTAAAAAAAGAAGGTTCCTACATGAATCTAAGAAAAATGTATTGACACAAAAACAAACGTTTATATGTATTTTTACAATAATATACCGATAAATAAAACTAACTTGATAACCATGTCCGTTTTCTTCTTTTCTCCCATGATCACTCACAAGAAGAGGTAAAAAAATAAGTTGAATGTCTGAATGGGGTAACCCATCTTGCGAACGAATAAAAGCTCCTACATCAATATTATTTGAACTGCAGATTCCTTTTTTACTTAAAAGCCAGATTGCACCATCTAATGGCATCCTCCAAAGCCGAGTGTACTTATATAATGTTATGGGCTGAAGACACCGCTTAAAATATTATAAAACATTTTAAAATAATTTATAATACAAAAAATAACTGTTTTATATATCTAAAAATCATTGAGGTAGAATAATTCTTATATCAAAACAAAAAAATATATAATAGTATGACATTATTTTTTTTGCATATTTTTTTTACTTCTCTGTCTCAATGAATAATAATAAAATTTCACGTCAGGGATGAATAATATATTTGGTTTTAATAGACAAAGGTGTGCATTTACTACGAAAAATTCCAAGTGCTAAACTAAGCTATTTATTACTACTTCCCCTTATTAATTTTTAACTTTTAAATTATAATTTTTTTGTTTGTTTGTTTCATTTTACAAAGTTTTTAATTTTAAAAGGTATTTAATTTTTAAAAGATAATATTAACGCTTTGAAAAACTGTGAGCCAAGAGCACTTTATCTTTTTTAAACGTTTGTTTACATTGAAAGGTTTTATGTATTTTCATTCTTGGAACACTTTGCTATTAGAGTTAAGGCGGATTTCCACTTACAGGAAATTTTCCGCGGAACGGAAAGAAAAAGAAAATTATCCAATCATGTAACATAAAAATTGCGCATCTAAAATTTTTTTGTTACATGATTGAATGATTTTCTTTTCCTTTCCGTTCCGCGGAAAATTTCCTGTAAGTGGAAATCCGCTTTGACAATTTAGCCTGTGTCATGACGGTAATGTAACAGTGATAATTAAATTACGAAAATTGTTGTTAAAACTTTTATAATCTTTATAACAACTTTGATCCAGTTAAAGAACTTAATTTTAGAAGACTGGAGAAAACAAGTTACTACATCTTACTCGATGTAGTCGAGACGATTTGTAAGTTATTCGAATTCTTTTATTTGGAATTAGCATGATTTTGTCAGCGTATTATGTCCAAACAAGACCTTTAGATGCTATAATTTTTATTGCATCAAGTTTTCTAATGTTTAAAGAAACTTTTCCTTTTTTTTAATATAATTTTCAAAAAAAAATTATTACCCCTAATTGTGAATCTAAAGAACACCATTTTTGAGTTTTTAGGTCAATTCCGCTCAATAGCGTTAACTCAATTTTAGTTGAAAATTTTTGAAAATATACTATAGATTTTAGCTCTAATCGGTTCTAGTACATATTAATTTAATATAGTCAAAACACAACATTTCTAATAATTTTCACAAAAAATATTAGAATTTCGACCAAGAAAGCACGTAATTAAGAAAAGTTGCCAATAAACGATTAGAACAGATTATATTATTAAACTATGATGTTCATTTCGCGATCGCGATCACATGACTGTTAGTCATGTGGTTAGCTTGGGGTACCTGAAAATTAAAAAAAAAAGTTATCAATTTTTTCAGATTTAAATTTTTGTTTTTTACTCAATCAATTTAATGATATTAAATTAAGTTCTTGCTAATTTTTTGTGGTCAAAAAAAAAAGTACAACTTCCCCAAAAATCAATCTTGAAATTGGATACATTCTTTTAAAACCATCAATCTATGCAGCTGTCAAAACAGCAGTCGAAACAGCAGTCGAAACAGCAGTCAAAACAGCAGCAATCCCAAAAATAACCTTAAGTAGACTGAGATACGTTAGCTCAAGACTAGGTCACTGTTTATATACCTGCTTTATAAATTTGAACGCATTTATTTCATAAAACAAAACGCAAAATATCTCATATAATTACAACCTCGTCCTTATGTTGATATTGTTTTTGTAAGTTTTTGAAAAGATTCTTAGAGCAAATTATTTAGGTAATACTTAAAGATAATATAATACAGGTAATAATTATTTATTATTGTTATTAAAGATATATTAACAAAAATTGTGCATTAGGTGTTTACTTAAGATAAGCAGCATTGCTATTTGAAAATATCCTAGAGACATCTTTTTAGAATATATTGTATTCAGAAAAATATGTTTCAAGCCAAACTGTGGGGTTTACAATCAGTAACTATTTCTATTAAAAACATGCCAGAGTCTGAAGAAAAATATCCTTCTAAAATTGCACATTCGTGAAAAAAAAAATCTCCGAGCACTTAAGAAAAAAAAAGATTGTACACATGTACCAACAGGAAACAAAGTGTAAAAAGACTTTTTTAAAAGTATAAACATTCATCTATCGAATTAGAAACAAAAAATTGATTACCTTAAAAATATACAGAACATAAAAAAAAAAAATGTTAGAATAAAGGCAAGTTTCAAATTTGGAGGGTAGTCCCGAACACATGGTTTCGGCGTGATTTTACCTCTTCTTTACCAGTGTGACACAAATATTATATATAATCATTTAGCATTGGACTGTTCTCAACATATTTAAAAAGAAAAATTGCTTTTAAATTTGTGTGTGGTATATAATGAATGGAAATGAAAATGTTCTTATTTAGAAATATAAACATTAGCTTTTTACTAATGAAAATAAACACTTTAAAAACACTTTTTTCAAATCAAAGGTCTTTGTATTGGAGTTAAATGAATTACTATTATAAGTTTGTATGCTATATTAAATTTATTAATATTAATATGAAAAAGTTTTTCATTTTTAATATGTAAACAAATTATGTTGTCCGGAACCACCCTCCAAGCATGTCCGATACTACCCGATCATGCCTCATTCATAAATACTAATTTTAAAACCACTGAGTTAGTTTTAAACGATTTTTTTAGAGTTCGTAACTTATGCGCTTATCGGCAAATATATGCACATACCATTCAAAGGTTATGCGCATAAGTATGCTTTAGCTAAGATTATGATGTCGATTATGATGTTGAAGTTGATTGATGTTCGGCTTTTCGTTTTGCAAACAATCGTTTCTCATCTTCACTAGCGTTTGGACATGATGTTCGTTTATGTGCTGCGACGCCTTTTGGCAGGCAATGCAAGCTCCAGTTCTCTTCACTGTATCAAGATTTTGCAAATATCCATTTATTGTGAAAGTTTCCGTTGTCTAACTGTTTGAGGAAAAATTGTTTTACTTATCTCTTTCATTAAAGCACTTTTATAATTAATAATTTAAAGTTATTAATTATGAAAGTGCGTTAGTTGAAGAGATTCGAATAAAAGTTGTTACCTTTTAATTCCACTATTAGAACTGATGATTTTTTTGTTTCAAATGCATATTAATTCAAAATTTCATGAAAACTAGAATCAAAATTGTGTCTGCCTAGTGAAAAAAATTTAACTGTTTATGATTTGAAATTGAAAAAAAAGCTTTGCACATAATTATGCGAATATATGCGCACAATTTATCGGCGAATATCTGCGCATACAAATTTTTCCGAACCCTAGATTTTTTAAATGAATATTGTAAATAAAAACGTATCTTTATTCAAAAAAAAGTTATTAGTTTACATAAAAATAAAGTATATTATTATGTGAATCAAATATGATGATATATCGCTCTTCTGGTGCACAGTAGGTGGATAAAATGGGAAAGATTTTAGTAGTCTAATCTTAAAAACTTATATAATTTCAGTATCTATATATATTAGGAGAAATTTATTAATAATTTATTTTTATTAAATCCCTTAGTTACCAGGACTCTGAGCATTTAAATATTGAAATTAAAAAGTATATATATATATATATATATATATATATATATATATATATATATATATATATATATATATATATATATATATATATATATATATATATATATTAGTAATTATGGTGAAATCAATGTTGAGTGATAATTCAATTACATCTACGTTTTTATAACAAAAAATTAGTACATGTTATTAGAGGTAAGAAAAACCATTGTATGAAATAAATTTGCCATGTTATCTCAGTTATACTTTGAAAATTACAGATTAAAAAAAAAATTATTTTTTGCCGCACTATAACTAATAAATACCACAATTTGCCATATACTGCCTTATATTTATTTGAGCTATATGATGCTTTAATCAAGTTTCCATTGATTGCTCGTCCCTTTAAATCTTTTATATATGTTTTAACTTGGTTGTTATGGTAGTTATTTTTGCATAGCAACAATATATTTTTACATTAAAGTTGTTTTTATAGTATATTATTTGCGCTAAGTATAGAATATTTGGACGTATGTATTTAAATGAGATTCTCAATTCTTATGTTTATTTCTTTGGTTGCTATAGATACCTTACTTTGCATAGTGTGTCAACAACATAACTTTGGTAGTTGTTAGTAATTTAATTACTAGCACTAACGGTAATTCAATTACTTTTAATTTTAATTACTAACACTTGTAGTAACTTAATTACTAACAAGAGTTAGTTGTCTACGCGACATATCTATTATAATTTTATAACTTCAAATACAAAATATTTGTTATAAGAATTATTTAGATATGGTTTTCAGTAAACTTAGACAAATAATTTTATCTAAAAGAGCAGCAAAACGCCAAAAGTTGCTGAATTTAAAGAGGTTGAACCCCCCTCCTCTCTCTACAAAGAAAATACGCTACAAACTCAGCCTAATTTTCCGTCATTTAAGCAATGAAACTCAAAAAAAAAAGAAAAATTGTTGACGTCAACTTTAATTGACTCCCCCCTCCCCCATGTTTTACAATTATTTAAACAATCTTCAAACGATATTACTTTTTTAAAACTTTTGATTTAATTTAAAATTGACAATGTTTTCTTCCACTATTTTTTGTTTTTATTATTTATTTGCTAAAACTTATTTATTAATATTTATTTGCTAAAACATTATTTACCTAAATACTTAATTGTTATTTAAAACAGGTGGGTCAAAAACCCAATAAAATTTATTCAAAGATCAATTTACCCCTTTATAACTAAGGAAAGTATCTGGTAACTAAGCAATGTAAGTATCCATAGCAACTAAATAAACAAAAAATTTATAACTTTTATAAGAGGTGCGATCTCATATTGGTGCTCATGCCAAATTTAGTGAATATAGTTCTCGTAAAATATCTGCAAATACCAAAAATAGGTTGTTGCTAAGCAAAATTAAGGTATCCATAGCCAGTGCCGGTTTAACCAACAGACACTCTGG